TGGGGAAATGTTTATTGATGGATAATAAGCTAGAATTGATGGATAGTAAGCTAGGAGCAAGAAGTTCTAGTGTACTGTTGCATTGTAGGGTAACTGTAGGTAACACTTATGGGCTATGTAATTTGAGCCGGTCGTGGTGATATATGCCTATAATCCCAGTGGCTTGGGAGGCTGAGGCAGGAGGATCTCAAGTTCAGAGCCAGCCTCAGCAACTTAGTGAGGCCCTAAGCAACTCAGTGAGACCCTGTCTCTAAATAAAATACAAGAATGGTCTGGGGATGGGGCTCAGTGATTAAGCACCCCTGGGTTCAAACCCTGGTACCAAAAAAAAAAAAAAAAAAGAATTTTGAAAGTTTTTATAAAGATAGGACAAATGTTTAAGGAGATCAATTTAAGATTATACAATATATACATGTAATGAAATTGTATGTTTTCTCTTCTTTGCAACCCTGAGTCCTAATACATTCTCAGAGTAATTATGGCTCATAGAAGAAATAGACTCCTATTTATTAATTTTGCCTACAAAATATGTACTGAAATGACAGGACTTAATATTTCCAACGCTGAATGCATTCTGCCTATTTGATGTATGTTTCTTCACACCTGTGAAACATAAAAATTGAAAACTAGAGGCTATTCAAAGGAAAGGACAGAGGCCTTTTTTTTTTTCCAAAACGATTGCACTTTAAACAATCCATCAAAAGCAGAATTACCACCTCAAATTGTAAAGCAGAAATTTACATATTCTGGTTTCTAATGCCATAGACTCATCTTTTTTCTTCCCTTTTATGTTTGTTTTACAGCTGAGTTATAAAATAGGAGTATATAATTAAAATCCTCAGACCCATAATTATAAGCTCGGCTGCAGAATAATTGTTGAGCCTTTTGATGATTCCGCCACTAATTATGCCCCTTAGAAATTCCAAATATCACTTTCCCATAAAAAGCTGATCATTGTCAGCCTTCAGTCAACACACTTGACTGATGGGAAGATAATGTTTATTTCCACATGTTTATCGGTGGCCTACCCTGACTTGGTACCCTTATTTTACTAAGGAGGGAAAGATAATGAATCCATAGATGTAGATTTATATTTATCATTGAATGGCATATCTGTTTTTCTCCTTCACAAACTACCATGAAACTTTCAGAAATTGCTCCTTATTTGGAACTTTTTAAAACTCTCCAGTAAGTTATTAGGATGTGCATTGGGTAGATTACGTCCTAATATCTGATGCGTCAAAGAAAATAAGTGTCTGTAAATAGAATGCCAGCATATGTTCAAAGATCTATGTTCTGAAATGTGTCACTAATTTTGGGGGCACTTTGAATCAGCTATTCTACCTTGAATTGCAGACATGAAACCCTGTTTTGTGGAAATATCCCTGTCACATTCTAATCTCGCCCTTCCTACTCTGCACCTACTCTTGCCCCTCCCCCACTGCCCCACTGCAAATGCTTGTCCAAAAAAAAATGCTAAGCCCATTTTCATAAGATGTTGTTTCTGTAGACACTCGAAGGCACAATACCTTACTTTGAAAGATATCTTTTAAGGAATAAATTTATTTCACCATTAAGAAACAAACAAACAACAAAAAAAAAAATCCAGGCACAGTGGTGGCGCATGCCTGTAATCCCAGCGGCTCAAGAGGCTGAGGCAGGAGGAATGAAAGTTCAAAGCCAGCCTCAGCAATGATGAGGCCCTAAGCAACTCAGTGAGACTTTGTATCTAAATAAAATACAAATTAGGACTAGGGATGGGGCTCAGTGGTTGAGTGCCCCTGAGTTCAATTCCTGGTACCCACCACCAAAAAAAAAATTAAGTCATATTTGACAATTAAAATAGCATAAAGAGGTGTGCAACTTGATGACTTGGTATAATTTCACTAGATATAGAATTCTTTTTTAATTTTATTAGAATTCTTGCTGGTTGTTTTTTTTCTCTCTTCCTTTCAATATTTTATTCCACTCTTTTCACTTGCATGGTTTCTAATGAGAAGTCTGCTGTACTTATTATCCTTATCTCTCTGTAGGTTTGGTGGTTTATTTGCCCTTTGGATTTATTCAATATTTTCTCTTTATGTTTGATTTTGTAAAGCTTGAATTGGTCTAGAGGTACACATTACATGTGCATGTGCATATGTGTGTGCATGTACACACATGGGCATATATAAATACATTCATCTGTAAAAATATGTGTATATCCCAGATGAGATAAGGCTCAAAGTCTCCGTTCTCTCACCTGGGAGAATAGTGCTTTGCCACGGAGAAGGCTTTAGTTTTATTTCACAGGATTCTCTTCTCCTCCCTCTGCCAAGATCTTTCTCGTATGTTCACCAGGAGAACCTGGTAGAGTTCCTGGTGGTTAAACCCATGCAAGTGTCCCCCTGTCCAACATTGTGGCCCACGGAGTTTCTCTCTGACATTCTACTCTACACTTAGCCTCTGATCATTCTGATAATTCCACACTACCATGTAAGTCTTCCTACCCACCACGGCTCCATCTGCTTACACTATAGCTAAGCCGAGCGTGGCTGTGATACTCTGGATTCACCTGTCTCTCCAGATCTCGGGGTGGAATTTTGACCTGGTGAGTTCAAGAAAGGTTGTTGATTTTCTGTTGGTTCAACTTTTCTTTGTTGTAAGGATGAGAGGTGCCACGTTTTCTGTCTCAAAGCACCACTTGCACCATGGTATCAGGAATCCTTAAAATGTGGAGTAACAATGGTTGTTATGGTGTGGCTGTGAGGTGTCCCCCAAAGGCTCATGTGTGAGATGGTGCAGGAAGGTCCAGAGGAGACATGACTGGATGGTGAGAGCCTTAACCCAACCAGATATATATCTCCCCTGAATTCACAATATGTTAAATGCTTTCTGTGATTGTCTAATGAGACTGTTTGTTAGATGGGGATTGTTCCAATTGTTCGTCCATAGCACTTCAAAATGTATCAGCTTATAACATTTCATGGAAGGCTTAACTGGAGTCCACAGAGTACAAAGGTTGCACTAGATCCCACCGTAAAATTTCCCCCAAATCATGCTGTCACAAGATCTTTCATTTTGATGGAGCACCTGGAGAAACTTCTGTTTTGTGAAACGCACTTTGGGAATTGCTGGTATTTTAGGAAACACCAAGATTTGGAAAAAGACGGGACGTGGATTTGAATCTCAACTCAGCTATTTGCTGTTTAGGTGAATGTTCCTAATCTATAAATTGAAGACACAGTACTTTTTAGTTCATTGATCCATTAGGTAACATAGCAAACAATAGCATTTACTTTAGGAATTAATACGAGGACTTCATGAAACAAATTAAGCACCTGTCACGTGATATATACTTAAGGCTTATTAATGTTATTGTTGATCATCATCCATATCAGGCTCCAAGACGGTGGGTGGCAAGGTCTTGCCCACATTAGAACCAATTTTCCTCTGAGTTGGCCTGACAAATAAATGTGGTTATCCAGTCGCCAGAGTACTTGAATAGCACATCTGGTCTAGTCTATTGTGTTAGAGGATGTGTGTAGGAGTGTGTCAAAGTGTAAAGTTTCCACGGCCTATGTCACGATGGAAATGTCATTCCATGTTTAGTAAAATTCACAAAGAACATGGCCTGGTCCTTCCAAATATGGCCCAGGAACCGATTGTCTTCTGAGAAAAGTATAGGGCTAAGATCCAGCAGCATTTAATCTGTGTGAGCAAGCATTTGGGGGTCTGTCATTCGAAGCGAATGACTTGCACTAATTGTCTGGTAAGTCATGGTGATTGCATGTTGGAGTCACAGCTAACCCCTATTGGACTGTCATGCGTTTTCCATCCTAAATGTTAACACTGTGGGCAAGCTACCATGGAGAACACCCAAGAAGCAATTTCAATATGATATCTGATTCCTGGGTGGCTGGAGCTGCTCAGTGCTAGATTTTAATACTATAATCTGGAACATGTTGATTTGGAGCAATACGCATGATTAGATGATTTGATTGTGTGTTGTAAAGGAAGCTGTGACCTTTCCAGTCCAATCCTGGATGTGACCAAACACTGTTGGGAGGAGGAGAAGACAAATGCATGTGGGGGAGTGTGACAACCGTGACACCGTTCCTTTGCCTCATTATTCAAGTGTATTCAATAATCTTAAAAACCGTGTGGACTGTGCCCCAAATATTAGTGGCCAGCTACATCTAAAAGAAAATAAACAAAGATCTAGTAACATGACCTGCAAATACTGAGCAGATGGCCTCAACATGAACAAGTCTCTCGTTTTTTTAGCCAGTTTGGGCAAACAAGACAACATTAAAAATGTATTATTCTTGCCTATAAATCCATTGGCTAAAACCACTGTAGTTTAATAATGCCGTACTATTTCATATGGCATCAGAAGTTAAGACAGCAATATCAGCCCCGCCATTGGCAAGACGTTTTACATTTGGAAAACTACTTTCACATTCATTGTGTTTGACCAGAGGAGAAAAGCCATACAAGAGAAGAGATACCAGCAGGTTTCATTTCCCAAATTTACAGTAGAAACCAACAAAGCAGAAATGTGGGGTGATTTGCATTAGTTAAGTGAGGACTTAAACCCAAGTTTCTTAGCACTAAGTCCATGGTTTCTTCCCTCTCTGGGGCATTATAAAGTGGAAGGACAAGAGGTAGAGTTCTTTTCCTAGAGTCACACATAAATTCTGCCAGAAAAATAAGGTGAGGGGCATTATTTCTCTACAGTGCGTGCAGCCAGAAATCCCAAGAACAAAATGAAAACTGCCGGGCATCTTCTGTTACCTAAGGATGAGGCTGGACCTTCCTGCACAAGAAGGAATGCAGAGGGTAGGCAATTGCCCAGACATCCCAGACCTCAGTCACGGTCACCTAAAAGGTTCTAAGGTATGTTTGGGACCTGAGCAGTGGGTATAAGTGATTGGATGGTCTCCGTGGCTTTGTATTTGCATGCAACCACGCAGAAAACTTCAAGACATTGATATTCTTTGTTCTAAAACAAAAATTACCTCCAAAGCAGTATCCTCTGGGTCCTTGGCTGTTGCTCGATAAATGATGGTGCCCGGGACAGTGTCTTCTAGGATATAAATCTCAGTAACTGCCAGAAAAGGTAAAAGAGATATGATTGAAGGAGTTTCACACCATGCTATCCCCGCCCCCCCCCCCCAAAAAAAGCATTCATTCTATATTTTAGATAAAAATAAGAGTATTATACTTGCTCAGTACAAATGTTTTCATAGAGTGCTTCTAATTAAGCCAATAGTTATGATGATGATGATGATGATGGTAATGATGATGATAGGCACTATTTATTTAATATCTACTATGTGTCAGGCTAGAGGAAAAAAGATTTAAAAATTTAAGCAGGGCACAGTGGCATATGACTATAATCTCAGTGGCTTGGGAGGCTGAGGCAGGAGGATCATGAGTTCAAAGCCAGGCTCAGCAATGGCAAGGAGCTAAGCAACTCAATGAAACCCTGTGTCTAAATAAAATATAAAAAATAAATTAATAAATAAAGGAGGGCTAGGGTTGTGGCTCAGTGGGAGAGCACTTGCCTCACACATGTGAAGCACTGGATTAGATCCTCAGCACCACATAAAAATGAATAAACAAAATAAAGATATTGTGTCCATGTATAACTAAAAAATATTTTTAAATATATATAAATAAAAATAAGGGGCTGCAGATGTGGCTCAGTGGTTAAGTGCTGCTAGGTTCAATCCCTGGTATGAGGGGCGGGGGAGGCAGTAACTAGAGGCAGGTGGGTGCAGCTGGAGGAGGGGGCATTGGGGGCGTGGCTTTGGGGTCTACATTTGTCTCTGGAGAGTGGAGTCTCTCTCTGCTTCCTGATCACCATGTGACCTGCTTCCCTCCACCACACTCTTCCTCCATGATGTCCTGCCTCATCTTGAGCCCTGAGGAATGGAGCCTGCTGTCTATGGACTGGGACCTCTGAAACCTTGAGCCCCAAATAAACTTTTCCTCCCCTAAAATTGTTCTTGTCAGGTTTTTAGTTACAGCAGCAAAAAACTGACTAAAACAAAGATGTTTAAGTGGTAGCAATCACAACAAGAAAGACAGGGTCCCTGACCTCACAAAGCTTCCAGTTTAATAGACACACTCCTAATTAAATCATCACACAAACGAGAGAATAAATTTGGTGCACTGTAACCACACAAATCAATGTATCACCACAATCAATGAACAAGTGAGTATACCCTTTCATGTAACCCATGGGTCACTCCTGTTGTCAGTGTTGTCCCGATCAGTCTTATAGCCTGGGTGCCATAGAGCACCCAGGACCCAGAGCCTACAGCTACATCCACAGGAGCCCTCTTCCTCCAAGGAGAGACCCTCAGTACCTTGGTTTCCAGGGGCAAGAGATCCGGTGAAGGTGGGCGGCTCATTCACATCTACAATCTGGATTAACATGGTCTGGGATGCTGTTGCCCCTTGGCTGTCTTTGGCATAGATTATCAGGGAATAGAGCATCACACTCTCAAAGTCCAGCTTGGGTACTCCAGTGGTGAGTAACTAAGTTTAAAAAAATAATAATAATAAGTAAATAAATGCAGAATCGTGGAGCAAACAATTGGCTTCATCAGGACATATAGGGAATATGTTAGATCTACAATTTCCAATATTGGTCAGCATTTTGTTGTTTTGTTTTGTTTTATGGGTTTTGTTAGGTTTTTGTTTTTGCCTTTGTTTTCATTTCTTAGATGGTCTCTCACTAGCTGGCCTTAAAATCCAAGGGACAAGTGATCCTCCCACTTTAGCCTTCCAAATAGCTGTGCCCCTCCATGCCCAGGTTTAAATTAACATTTTTAAAAAGGCATAAAAATCTTGAACTTAAGCTGGATACAGTGGCGTATCCCTGTAATCCCAGTGGCTCAGGAGGCTGAGGCAGGAGGATCTCAAGTTGAAAGCCAGCCTCAGCAAATTAGCAAGGCCCTAAGCAACTCAGTGAGACCCTGTTTCTAAATAAAACGCACACACAAAAAAAACCTGGGGATATGGCTCAGTACTTAAGTGCCTGTGAGTTTAATCCTCATACAAAAAAAAAAAAATCTTGAAGCTCACTCATATCGTGTCAAATGATTTCTCCTCCATCTTTCCCACCTTACCAGACTTTAATTTGGTCAAGGATTATCCTGACATCTCAATCTATCCTTGCAAAGTAGGTATTAGGGTTAGGTGCAGAAATTGGAGATTTGGGGAAGCTCTGCAGCGTGGCCAGGTTTTCACAGGTAGAAGTGCAATGACTTTGGACTCCCTCTGACTTCACACTCATGCTCTTCATGAATCTAAAATGGCTAGGACCTCACATGGCAGAGTCAGAGTCCCTTGTGTCCCTCCCTTGTTCACTCACCTTTATGTCCTGTTCTAGGTCCCTTCATGGCTTCTACACTGACTCTTGAACTGCCCTATTGACCTGAGACAATCCCCCACCGCCCCCAACCCCCCAACCCCCTCACCCCCTCAACCCCCAACCCCCCCACCGCCGAGGTGGAGCATGCTCAGAACTGGATTCCAGTCCCACCTCTGGTGCACTTTGGCGATGGTCCTTCAGCTCTCTGACTTGGTTTTCTTTATCCCTCATATGAGATCACTAATGTCATTTCCATGTCTGCCATGATACCAGGAGTTTTGGGGATACTGTTTCTAAATATTTCTTTTTTAGAATTAGTGGAAATAGTGAAATAGTGGAAAACAAAGATTTTTATTGAGTACCAATACTCAGTAGAAGGGGTTGGACACTCGTCTTTGGACACTCTTTATCAAATCAAGAACCCTTTTTCTGTGATGATAATGTAGTCTAAGAAAATGCTAAGATCTTACATGTATGGAGCACTTACTATGTGTTAACTGCAAACACTTATTAGTAATTACATCATTCCACCCTTTAAAAAAAACAGTGTGATTGACATGTTAATATGTCCATTTTATAATCAAATATGAAATACAGACTCTGAAAGATCATCCAACAAGGAACAGGCAGGGCACAAATGCCACTCTGATTCCAAAGCCCATCCCCAGGACAAGGCTACCCACATGGCTGACTGTGGTTCTGAGAACAAAAGGATCATAATGTCACCCAGCCAACCTTCAGCCAGCAGAGCTAGCATTTGTTGATTACTCTCTCCAAGTCCAGGATTACTTTCTACTCTTTGCCTCTGTTAATCATCAAAGCAAACCTGAGAGAGAGGTCCTAATGTCATCCCGCTTCACAGAGGCTGAAACTGAAGCTCAGGTTATATAACCTAGCTGGGAAATCCATGCTGCGCTTGGAGACAGAGCACGGGCCTGACCCCTGCCCATCTGTTCCCAACACCCTCGTGTCGGCCAGAACTGCCGCGGACAGGAACACAGAGGGGTGTTGTCGCAGTTCCATCAAAGTCAGCAATACCTGGCATCCAATACCATTGTCTACTGAGCAGATGCCCCAGGCTGGACAGGATCTCTTCAAGTCTCACGGTTTTCCCATGGAGCGAATAAATGCTCTAGCATCCCCCAAGCTGCTGATGAAGAACTAAAGCCCAGGAGTAAGAAATTTTGCCTACAGTAACACCACTCATAGTAACTGAGCTGGGGCTTAAAGCTAGAGCTTTCTTTCTGTTCTCCACACGCTAATGATTCCTGATAAGTTCATTTAATATCATAACCTGGTTTTAGGATCTATGGGGCTTTCCAGCCTCAATTAAGCACAACAACTTTGTCCTTAAAGAGCTCCTGATCCAAGAAGCACGGTCCTATGCCCCAGCTGCCATTTTCACATGGTTTGCCCTCTCCTGGGATCCCCAAAGGGATAGAAACTGTGTCCATTTTGAGTATCAGGCTCAACAAATATCAGCTCTCGATGAACATTTTTTTAAGTCAACCAAAATTCTCATTAATTGCACTTGAACTGAAAGTCGACAGGAAGATGGTTTAAGTTCCCCTCTGGTGGATGCCTCCCATCCAGAGAACAGGAAGTGAGCATAGAAAAGGTGACTTGGGGGGCTGGGGTTGTGGCTCAGTGGTAGAGCGCTCTCCTAGCACATGCAGGGCCCTGGGTTCAATCCTCAGCACCACATAAAAATAAATGAATGGAACAAAGTTATTGTGTCCAACTACAACTAAAAAATAAATAAATATATATATTTTTTTTTTAAAAAGGTGACTTGGGTTCATTTCCCCATCCTGCCTGGACAGCCCCTTTCGCGATCCTCAATGACAGGTAGGAATCTGAAGGTAACGTAACTAGAGCATACCATGTCTCATTCCCATGGATGGATCCATATCATCAGTTCATGTGATTATTGTTTGCTATTGTTTCTCCAAGAGACTTGTTTGGCGAGGTGTTTTGTTGAATACTTGGCCAGTGGCCTGGCTAAGCTCAACCAGTCTTTTGCAAAACAATCCCCCATGTGTCAAGGTAGAAAGTCCAACAAAGGATAATGATATGCTAAACCCCAAATAGAACAGTATATTCTCCCTTTTTTACTGTAATATTATAGAATTAGATATCAATCCATTTCATGTAGCCTTTATCTGCAGGAATATTTCTGGGCTACAAAAACCGTTTCATAATCAAACTGCTTCTAAAGCTATCTAGAGCTGGTCTATTAAATAGCTCTGATACTGTGGCCACATTTTTCTTATTGTCTTTTTTTAAAAAAAAAAAAACTGTCAGTGGACCTTGTTATTATTTACATATCTCTGTGCAGTGCTGAGAATCAAACCCAGTGCCTCACACATGATAGGCAAGCATTCTACAACTGAGCCACCTCGCCAACCCCCACATCTTCCTTATATTATTATTTTTTGGCTGTCTATAATATGGCTACTTAGATTAGATTGGAAATGTATCTGCTATAGCAGCAACTATTGTGTGTTAACTGCTTATCATGGACCAAGCAGTAAGATGATACTTTGCATATATTATCTCATGGAAACTTTCCATCAGTCCCCGAATGAGGTGGTATTATTGTTAACACCTTATTATAAGGAAAATAAAAAGCACAGAAAGTCAAGTAATTTACCCAAGGTCATGTTGTTACTAATTGTAGTAGCTATGATTGAAAAGTGGGTTTGTCAGGCTCCAAAATCTGTGTTTAGAATAGTGATGGTGCACTCATTCTCTCTCTCTCTCTCTCTCTCTCTCTCTCTCTCTCTCACACACACACACACACACACACACACACACACGGAGGAGGAGGAAGAGGAGGAGGAAGAGGAAGAGGAGGAGGAGGAAGAGGAGGAAGAGGAGGAGAAGAAGAGGTAGGAAAAGAAAGTGTTGAGCAGGAGGAAGAGGAGGAGTACTCAACCCTCTGATAACCTTTTGCTGCTGTTTAGACTTGTAACAAATATCCTATGAAAAAAAAACAATATGAGATAGCATTTTACACCAAACTGTAGTTAGAAGCAAATTTAAAAATCTAAGGATAACAAGGTTTGGCAAAGTTATTCAAGAGCCTCATAACAGATCTCCTTTGCCCCTTTTAATCTGTTTCCCTCACAACAGCTAGAGTGAGCCTTTTAAGATAGAAGCCAATTGTTTTTTTTTGTTTGTTTTTTGTTTTTGTTTTTTTCTGTAGGACTCTCCAGTGGTTTCTTAAATGTGGGAGGATTTAATGTCTCTGATGATTTACCCTTTCCTATACTCATGTCCTTTTCAGTGTTCCTTCTACTAAAGGAATTGCCTTTGCAGTTCCTTCTACTGAAAATAGAGCATATTTCTCCACCGCCCCCCCTAGCTTGGACATGTGACTTGCTTTAGCCAATGAGATCGGAGGAGACTTGGGTCTTGAAATATACATGAGAGTTTGAGATTGTTCTTTTGTTCTCCTCCTTTTGCCTAAAGAGGCATAGGCTTCTGCTAACCAGTGTCCCAAGGAGCATGAGAGGCACAAGGAAGACCTGAATTCAGCTGCAGCCTGGAACCAAACCAGGTGGCGCCCCTAAACCACATGTTGCTCATAAGGACTTTATTACTTACAGCCCACAAGCAATGTGACCTCCATGTTCATGGTGGTTCTCTTGCCCTCAGGTTCCACAGGGGCAATGCACAGGGACCAGGGGAATGCTGCGCATACAGTGGGTTGCACCATATTTGAGGGACCCTGATCTTAAGGAACCCGAAGCTCTTATAATAAGCAGTAAACCTGCCTGAACACTGCCCCACTGGGAAAATAGCTTGATCATAGCTAGATGGTATATCTAGGCCCACAGCCCATGCAGGCTTTGCCCCTCACCTCCTTTGCTGTCTCATCTGTCACCTTGCTTCTGCTTCAGTCCTGTCACATCGATTTCAATCTCTTCTCCTTATCCCGCCCCTTTGTTCCACCATGCCTTGACATGGAATGCTCCTCTCCTTCTTCATCTACTTAATTCCTTCCCATTCTGCAGATGACTTTTCATGTAGCTCTTTCTCAGGAATCCGGACCAGGTCAAAGGTCCCCTCTAGGTGCTCTCACAGAACTGTGGGCCTGGATTTCATGGCTTTTGGTCACATTTACAATGCTATGCTTGTATGCATGTTCCCTTGATTAATATACATCCCTCTAAACCAGTAAATATCACAAGGTCAATGCATTGCCTGCATCTGATCAGAGCCTCAATAAATGTCTGTAAAATAAATGGATCATGATCTTCCCACAGATTTTTTCTTTTTTTAATTGTACTGGGGATTGAACCCAGGAGCACTCAACCACTGAGCCACATCCCCAGCCCTATTTTTTTTTTTTTTTTTTTTTGAGTTGCTCAGCGCCTCACTTTTGCTGAGGCTGGCTTTGAACTCATGATCATCCTGCCTCAGCCGCCCAAGCCACTGGGATGACAGGGGTGTGCCAACACGCCCAGCCCTCCCATTAATTTTTAAGAGTATCCAACACAGTATAGTGTCCCAATGAGAGGGTGCTAAGTTAATATCATACAATAGGGAGTGAGAAGGCAGAGGATGACAGTTTCATTTGAGAGCCCTTGGGGTACCAAGTGATCATACTGTTCACCTACATACTTACATCCCACAGGTGTGTGGATCTCTGAGACAGCATGAACGGATGGACCACAGGATTTGCATTAATAATCACAGGACCTCCAACCAGAGAAGTGTGAGGTGAGACAGACACGGTGACCACAGCAACCCGGGTGTGCTGAGAAGCATTTTCCAGAAGAGGGCTGAGATTCTCAATCATGAATTTGGGAAGAGCTAGAACATCTGAGAGGAAACATAAAATTTGACTTTTTACAAATGAATTTCTGCAAAGCTTCCCAATCTGCTTCATGTTTTGAAACCAACAACAACAACAAAAAAGGACAAGAACCACTAGTTCCTTTTTTATTAGACGTCTTAAAAAATCAGTTGAGTTGGCTTGGCGAGGTCATTAAGGATCTGGGAACTTCTTCTTCTTGTAAGCTAACTCCTCAAGTTTATGGACACCGGCAGAAGACAGAGGATTATTTTATTGATGGCACGGCAAGCAACTTGAACTTTTGTGTTCACATCCCTTCTTTTCTTTTTTTTAAATATTTTTTTAGTTGTAGATGGACATAACATCTTTATTTTATTTACTTATTTTTATGTGGTGCTGAGGATCATACCCAGTGCCTCATGCATGCCAAGGCAAGCACTGTACCACTGAGCCACATCCCCACCCCGCATCCCTTTTCTCGTTCCTCAAGGAACACGGGGGCAACACAGAGGGTCCCGGTGGATGCTATGCATTTATATCACATTTGAGAAGCCCTAAGCTCAGAAAGCCCAGATCTTTACGAATGAGCAGAAAGCTTCCTGACCTTTGCCCTGGATGGAGAAAATAACCTTATTATGACAAACCATCCTCTGTGTCAGAGGGTGACAGCACCCTTGTTTATAATGCACTTTTTGTTTTCCAATGTTCTACCCATCCCTCAGTTGCCCCTTGGATATCACTTCTTTCAGAAAACCTTCCCTGAGCCGGGCACAATGCCACACACTTGCAATTCCAGTGACTCAAGAGGTTGAGGCAGGAGGATCGAGAGTTCAAAGCCATCCTCAGCAACTTAGCGAGGCCCTAAACAACTCAGTGAGACCCTGTCTCTAAATAAAATACAAAAAAAGGCTGGAGATGTGGCTCAGTGGCTAAGCACCCTGGTACAAAGAAAGAAAGGAAGAAAACCTTCTGTGGCCTGCCCCAGTTGGCTTGGATACTCCTTCCTAGGGTTCCTGTAACACCCCATAGTGATGGTTCCCAGCATAATAACCTTCCATTTGGGTGCATTCCAGGGAACCATAAACTCTTACTGAATAACAGTACTTACCACATATTTGTTGAATGAATGATAAAATATCAGTAATGACTGTTTATAGGACATTCTTTCACATGGAATTTTTTCATTTAATCCTCACATTACCCCTGGAGTGGGGCTGCTATTATCAGTTCCATTTTGCACATGAGAAAACTGAGGAACAGAAATACAGTGACCTCCATCTCACCAGGAACAATAAATTTGGCGAGGATATGGGGGGAAAGATTCGCTGATACATTGCTGGTGGAGCTGCAAGTGGGTGCAATCACTATGGAAAGCAGTATGGAGATTCCTCAGAAAACTTGGAATGGAACCACCATTTGACCCAGTTATTCCACTCCAGGTGCATATTATAATGATACAGCCACATCAATATTTATAGCAGCTCAATTTACAATAGCTAAACTATGGAACCAATCTAGGTGCCCTTCAACAGATGAATGGATAAAGAAAATGTGATATATATACACAATGAAACATTACTCACCATAAAGAAGCATGAAATAATAGTATTTGGAGGTAAATGGATGGAACTTGATACTATCATGCTAAGTGAAATAAGCCAATCTCAAAAACCAAAAGGCTGAATGTTCTCTCTGATGCTAACACACTATAGCATGGGGGAAAAATAGAAGTTCATTGGATGAGACAGAGGGGAATGAAGGGAAGGGGGGATGGTAATAGGAAAGACAGAAGAATAAATGGGACAGAACTTTCCTATGTTCCTAGATGAAACTCCACATCATGTGCCACAAGAATGGAAAGTTACGTATGATATGTCAAAATACATTCTATTGTCATATATATCTAAAAAGAACAAAATTTTTAAAAAGCATACAACAGGCAAAAAAAATGAAAAGAAAAGAAAGGAAGAAAGAAAGAAAGAATGCAGACAGATAGATAGGAAGGCAGGCAGGAAGGTAGGTAGGTAGTGACCTTCTGTTATACAGCTAATCAGCAGTAGAGCCAGAATTTGAACCCCAAACTTGCTGGATCCCAATAGCATGCTCTTAAATGATTCAGATGGCTTCATGATTCAGAGTAAATTTCTTTGGGGTAGAAAAAAAAGAAAAAGAAAAATGGGAAAAATGGGAAAAAGCAAATATCCTCAAAATGTCAAAATTGGAGAAGGTCCCCAGACAACCAACAGCAGTGGCCCTGGGATGAAGGAAAGGACTCCACCTCAGGAATGGCCTTTTGGATTCACAGACCTCGACTCCTGTCTGAAGTCGGCTTCTTCCTGGCCACAGGACCACTTGGGCAAGCAGCTCATCCTGACTAGAAGTCAGGGGTGTGGCTCAGTGGTAGAGCCCTTGCCTGACATGTATGAGGCCCTGGTTTCAATCCCCAATACTGGGGGGGTGGGGGAGGATTAATAGTACAGCATCTTGTGCTTCAGAATTTGCTAAGAGGATAGGTCTTATATTAAGCGTTCTTACTATGCAGGCACCCAAAAGTGACACAGGGGAGATTTGGGGAGATTTTCGGTATGCCTGTGATTTTGATTACGGTGATGGTGTTATGGGTGTTTGCAAATGTCCAAACTTATCAGATTCTACACATTAAATACATTCAGTTCTTTTTCGGTCATTGTACCTTAATAAAGCTGTTAAAAACAAACAAACAAACAAAGAAGAAGAAGCTAGAAATCAACTGTGACTTCAAAAGAAGCCACTTTGGTTGAAACTGGTGTGAGGTGATCACCACTATTTAAGAGATTGGGATTATTGGCCATTATTTTTAATAAAGATTTATTTGTCAGTCACTGTCATAGAAAAATGTAAGATTTCTTGTTACTGAAGTTCATTATTTGTTTTATTAGATACAGTGCATGAAAGGTGGGTAAAAATAGTTTCTGAAATGACATTATTTCATACAACTTGTGTCTAACCCTGCGGTGTTGGGAAATTACTCAGTGCTCAAAGTCACAATGCATTTAGAGACAAAAAGTCATCATGCACCCTACTGAGCTGGCCTACTTTGATTCTATTTTTCTCCCTTTCTTTCTGTCTCGCTTGTGTGTGTGTGTGTGTGTGTGTGTGTGTGTGTGTGTGTGTTTTCTCTGCTCCCCTTAATTTCAGCTGAGTCTTGTTCTTACAGCAAAGATTTCACTGAAGATACACTTAGGTTAGTTTCTCAAAACTCATTTGGAAAAGGCAAAGTTAAAGATAGGGCCTAGAGGTGGGCTTGGTGACACACATCTGTAATCCACCAACTCAGGAGGCTGAAGAAGAGAATCACAAGTTCAAAGCCAGCCTCAGCAACTTAGGCAGGCCCTAAGCAACTTAACGAGATCCTGTCTCTAAATAAAAAATTAAAAAGGGTTGGGGATGTCATTCAGTGGTTGAGCACCCCTGGATTCAATTCCAGGTACAAAAAAAAAAAAAGATTACATCCACAAAATACCCAAGACTATAGAGAAGCCCTGTCTTAATGTATAACTTTAACTTTAAATTTTCTAGTAACCACATTTTTTAAAGTTTTTAAAAGGCCAGTAAAAATAATTTTAACATTTTATTTGAACTGATGTACATAAAATATTATTTCAATGTAATTAACATGTGAAAATGTTAGTAAGATAGTTTACATTATTTTTTTCACATAAAAATCACCTAAATAATAGTATATATTTTATATTTACAGCACATCTTAAGTCAGAGTGCCCACATTCAAATGCTTAGTGGTTATCATTTCAGACAACATTGCTATAGAGTTGATTGGAGTTGTGCAGATATTATCATTTATTTCTATTAGCAATACAAAATCTAATCATTATTAATCAAAAAGTGGAAATTAGATTTGGGATTCAGAGCCCGGTGGAGTGGGTGGATTTTGCCCAGAACGTGGATTTGCCCAGAACGTGTTTGTAGAGTGCCGGTGTGAGTTCAGGAATAAAGAGTTGCTGTTTGAATCTACAAGGCAAAATCCCACAGGGAGAATTTCTTTGGGGTGACCTAGAGAGCAAATTGGAACCTCTGTGAGGATAAGCGTAAAGCAACATTTTTGACCCAGGGTCTATATTTAGATGTAATTTTATAACAAATCACATATAACATATGAATAGATAAAAAATGGATTTCCTAAATGGAAGCTATGATGGTGTACTGGAGTTTCGCCTCTTGGCCTCCCATTACAGCAACCTTCAGCAGTGGCATTTCACAATACCTGAAGAACATTGCTTATGGAGACCAAAAAAAAGAAAAAAAAGAAAAGGCTCAGTTCGCATGATTTTGAAAGTAAGATTTATCATCAATGTAACAATACAATGTCATTAAGAACATTTTGTTCTCCAGTAATTTGTTTCATATTTGATTTCATCTCAAAATCTCTCTGTATTTTTTCAAGACACTTTCAAACACTCATTTTACAAGAGTCATCATTATCCATGAACTGTTTTAAGTTGGAAGACTCATATTTTCTCTTTCGATGATAATTTGAACAGCCTGGAATAGAAGATTTATGGTGGACACGAATATACCAATATACTGAAGAAGACTAATGCACCACGTTTATGTAGTCTAAAGTTTATAGCTATCCTCATTAAGCAGCTGGCCAGAACTAAGCTGAAAGAGTTTTTGTGACTGCAATGGAAACATCTCCGACCCTTTAGGGTCAACCCCCACACTGGTTAAGAGGTGTCATTCTGTGTTACTGTTTTTCATGTTTAATAATGTACAGAAATCATTTTGTATTTACTATAACTGTGGGTATTAACGCATTAGCTTGCTAGAATTGCCATAAAAAATACTACAGATTAAATGGTCTAAACAAAAGGAGCTTGCTTTCTTATATCTCTAGAGTCTAGAAGGCTGAAATCAAAGTGCCAGCAGGGAAGGAACTGGTTCAGGCCTCATAGGTTTGTAGATAGCTGCCTTCTCCCTGTGTATCACATTATCTTCCCTCTTAT